ACTAAATCTCTCCTTATCATTCATGTTTGCACCTGTCTTCACCTTTACAACTCCCATCATGTTGACGAGAGCTTATGACACCACTTCGAATGCAATAAAATTAATACCTGTCACAACATCGTTATCTGATGGCTTAATTTTGTGAGTTAAGTAACTGCATTCCATGATCGCATGATTCCATATCTATCGCATGCCTATTGGGTCAGTTCAGTTCATCCTTGCCTTAATTTCTAACGAAACAATGTTAAAACACTTTTTGCACATTTCAAATGAATATAACTGGTGAAGAGGAAGAAACTGCTTTAATATGTATAGGGTTTTCTTTAATTTAAAATCAATAAATTAAATTGAAAGTTAAAATTAAATGTAATGATAGTAAATAAGTCATGAATTCTTTTTTTCCCATGGAAATCCCACAAAACCAAGGTGAAGCCTGTTGTTATTGAACATAAATTGGAAAAGAAACTGTCATCACATAAGTGCAAAACCATTTACTTGATAACCTGGCGTGTAACTGGAGCTGAATGACTCAAATCAACATCAACAACTTTAATAAATGACTTTTTAAGAACATCTCAGGTTGGGCTGAACTCCTTGTTAAAGCAGTCTTATCTTTAAAAAGTTCGCAATCCTCATAACACACAATTCACAAGCAGCAAATAATGTTTCAAATATGTTTCTATTATTTTCCCTCAGAAGAAAGAAAAAGGAAAATTAAATCTCAATTTAAGGAAGACCATATTATTCTTATTCTATGTCCACAAATTGTACTTGAAAAATGCGTTAATTGTAGAAACTTTGGCAACATAGCAGACTCCACCAAAGGGCTTGGTATGTAGGTTTTCTCACCAACAAGGACATTAGCAATGACTTTTAGAACTTCAAAGTTGACACTAAATACTTGAGTAAAACTCGCCTTCTTAAAGACAGCTGATAAAGTGAAGTAGGTACGTCCTTTAACCTTATGGTGTTTCATATAACCTATAATTACAGGTATGCAGCATCATTCAGTTAACTCAGATAACCTTATCCATCACAAGCACACCGTGTTATCAGCACACTCGACTACAGCCTGTCATCCTCTCCATTAAATGATCATATATAAAGGATTGTATAGACTTGCAGTCTTTGATTTCTAAAACAAACCTGTATATATAAGCAAGGGTCACATAATACTGAATGGTTTTATATTGAAAAACTGCAGAATAATTTTGAAAGAAATTAATGTTGTAGCACCAACCATAATTTTAATCCCGAGGAATGATTCAACACAGGTTTTAACTACATCAGCCCAATTATATCAAAATACCTCTTTGACTTTCATATACATATTTACATATATGCATATCCCTTGTTTATATTCTTAGCTGCCACTTTCTTGGTGAAACAACAAGTTGTTGACATAAACAACAAACATAAATATACTTACTACAACATGTACTACATGACACACCTTTTGGGAGTCCACAGTGAACTCTCATGAACAAAAACTCCTATGATTTACAGAGAATTACAAAGAATTCCAACAATTGCATTTCATCTGGAGTTCAAAGTCACCCCCACCCCCACCAGTACAGAATTTATCTGGCACCCTGTACTTGTACTAGTGCATATCAATCTACACCCATGAGTCTCCGTGCAATAACCCAGAGGCACAAACTGGCCCATACACACTTCCACTGATGCAATGTCAACAGCCAGGTAAGTCTCCTGTGTCAACTTAGTTTACATAATGTAGCTGCAGACAAACTAACTTAATGCTTACCATTCACCTTTCCCAAGACCCCTGTGTATACCGTAGTAGCATAGGGAATGAAGGATGGAGACTTTATTGCAGAACGATGGTGATGGTGGGATAGGATTTTGTGCAAGTGCCCCCTTCCATTTTTCCCATTATTTTATCTAACGCAGGCATTTTATTCATCTTTTTTTTGTGTGTGTGTGTCATGTTTGTCTTTTAAGTCTAATCGAATAAATTTAATGTAATGATTGGCTTACAAATATGCCAAAAGCTCACTATTCAAGCCAGAATGACACATGTATATAAAAAAACCTTAACACCCTAAAGCTTCCTACTTCCAAACACTACTATAACCAAGAAATGTGTTTCTCATGATCGCCTATCAGTTACATTTAAAAAAAACTAAAATAATAAAATGACTTAAACCTGGAAACCATTTCATTTACCAAAATTTAATCAATCTTTCTCCTACCAGACTATCTGGTATTTGTACCCTTACTATTTTGATTAGCCAGCTGCAGTTTGAATGGCAGCAAGCATGTCAAGGATCACTGCACCAAATATTATCATCTCCTACAGGTTACTCCATGCAGTTATCTATTCTTGCAGGGACAATAAAGCACAGGAAGTGCAGGACCCATCTGAAATTCAAGTACCATCCAAAAAGTCATATTCTGTCATTTGAGAGGCTGCAAACATTAGAAGGCACAAAGATTTGATTGCTAATACTGGTTACCCACAACATTATGGTGAGGGGTGCAAAGTAATATATAGAGCTAAACAGGGGAAACATAAAAGAGAAATGTGTACATTTTAAGTGATTAGCATATAAAATCATCTTGCTTTGACTCAGTCATGGTGATACATAGCACTGTCTTCAAGGTAATGTGGTAATGACTCGATATTTTCAATGCGGAAAAACTATCACGGTTTCAGATAATCAATTCTTTGCTGTCCTTTTACTAAAAAGAAATGAACTACAGGGTAGCCTGCTTTTCAATTTTGTTCCTACCACTCAACAGGAATTTATTACTTAAAAAGGTGCATTATCTGTGAAATTCAGAATTTTCCCTACTGAATAGATTGTCATTACCATATATACCTGTTTATACACCCAAACAGGTTGAATACCAAGCCAACCAAACTTGGTATCCTTACATTTTAGAAAATGGTGTCCGATATAAAATGTTAAGCATTGTAATTCATTCTTTACTCTGTCTTTGGGTACATTCACAATGATATAATAATTATAATACCAGGTAACCTAACTTCTTCATATCCTTCACATTTTAGAAAGTGGTGTACGATATAAAATATTAAGCAATGTAAATCATTCTTTACTTTGTCTTTAGGTACGTTCACAATAATATTATCATACTAGGTAATTCAAAGTAACTCCTTGGGAACACTCGCTGAATGCAATCATATGAACAGACAAAACCTCCATCTGACATTGAATAGAATATACAGTACAGCTGGTGATCGATACAAGTACTTTTGAAACAATAGGCATCTTAATTCTTTATATAAATTTCAATTTCATATAATGTACGTCTATCTAAATAGAGGTAATACAAAAAATATGGAAAGTTTCCTTATTAAACAAACCAAATGCATTTCAACTTGATATTTAGAAATAGCTGTAAAGTATGTACACAGTATGTATCAGTCCTCTACTACGAGACTAAGTTATTGTAAGCAGAACTCTGAAGAATTACTAAAATCCTAATTGATGAATATGAAGTCATTAATCTTTTTAATGTTTTGTTCCTCTCTGTGATTTACATTTGTCCATAGTGAAATAAACTGGGGTATTCATTATTTTTCTGTATTAATTTGAGTAACGTTAATTATGCACATAATATAAATTATCAAAGTAACGAGAAAATCATTTAAAACCATGCACTCATAGTAGTTTACCCAGCATATTGGCAACAACCAGTAATTTTAAAAACAGAAGCTAGCTTTTAAATCGCATCGATGACATCTCTTTCGCAACTGTTTTGCTGACCTGGGCAACCCTCAGTGTTAATCCTGCTTCAATTTCTAGTGTCGGCTTGCAACTTGCAAAGTTGGTAATTTTTAGCACTGCACGATATCTACTGAAGACAATTTAGCATGTAAAAATGTGGTTGATGTACTCACCTCTGTCACTTTGTGGCTGCTCCACAAAATACCAGAGAAATCACAAACTGCAGTATTTTCCCTCCGCACAATTTTTGTTTTGCATCAACTTGGTGAAAGTTACAACCACCTGTAAAGCGTAGTCTCGTTTTGAAGTGACCTATAAATAATTTCCCAAGACAAGCTTATACACTGTGCTTGATTTCTGCTATACAATGACAGGCAGGGCTTGCAGTGTGATAGTTGGGATAGTATTACAATCTTTCCACTACTGCAACCTCTCTAACATTGCAGTCACAAGCAAACACATCAACAAACATTTTTTAATATTCAATTGAATATTTGTAAGATACTAATCCCTGTCTTTTTAAGCCAAAAAATATATTTTTAAAATGATTAGTAAAACCTTGTTTACTTTCTCATGAGCGCCTGATAAAACTCCTGTTGGGATGTTAGTCACCAGTTATTTAGAAAGGACCCATCTATTTCAGCCCATAACTATTTCTACTAATTAGACTCATTATTACTATACAGTATAGTTTACAGCCAAAAGGCAGATTTCCTATCATAAAAAGGCATAATTTGACTGATAGTGATACATTATTTTTAGAAGATAATTTTCTTAAATCTAAAAATGAAAGTATATAATACAGAAATTATCATGTTTGCCACTTTTGTAACGTAAAACAAAAATCAGTTTAGCAATTACAGGGATTGATGTGCCAGATGTGCCAACTGCACGGACAGTCAATGAAAAAAAAAGTCAATGTTAAGGGTATTTTAAGACTAATAGACTCAGTGTCTAGTATATGGTAAAAAAAATTGAATGGAACGTTATTTTTTTACCTTTACTGCTAACTGTATTGAGATTAACTTTTTCTCTTTATTAGAGATAATTTTATACATTTGGATAGTCCCCAAAGGGGTGCCATAATGCCAGTTTAGTGTATTTTAAATGTTTATACTCTAAAGTTTAATTGTTCAAAAACTTCTATTTTATCATAAAAAATTGAAAAGAATGTTAAATGTTTTATTCCTTTTTGGCTTTATTTTATTCTTGGCATATGCATTCCTTTTTTTTCTTTTAAAAACAAGATTTTTAATAAAAATATCTTCATTTACATATAATTTTATTTCCAGATTCAAACTAAATAACAAGTAAACATTCGATTTAGTGAATCACAGTTCAGTCAACAGAATACACCTTTTGTTAAGTGTTAAATAACAAAAGACTGTTCAAAAACATTTTTCTCTTTCCTGTGAGACAACCCCCCTGAGACATGCCATAAAAACCATCTTTTAGGCGTTCACACCACAACACTATGGTCATCTCTGGCTAAAACTGGCAGGACTCAGCAGTAATGTTGGTCACTCACAGTCTCTTAACTGGTATTTCCATTGTTTCAAATGTATTCTAAAACTTACAAGAATAAATATACAGCACATACGGTGAAAAGGCACACTTCTGTGGCCTTTTAAAGAGCTGATACACCTTTATCACCTGCGATATAAAATTATTGGTGATCCAAGTACCAACAATATATATCCTTGGTTGTTACATGCATGTTACATGTGTATCTTGCTATCTGGGTTCTTTCTGCTGGCCAAATACTGATAGGTTAAGTTGATGCACATAGCATTGCGTGACAGCTCCCCTATAAGGTCAGCACCTCCACTCCATCCCTTGTGATCACTACAGTGTGTTCCCAGGCAGCTGTTCGACTTTCATCTGACGTTACAACAGTCCAACCATCTTCTAGAAACTCCACATTACTCCCTCCTTCAGAAATAATTGGCTCTAAGGGAAAAAAAACGAAGAAAATATTGTCTGTCAACTTTGAACTACAGGATATCAATTAGTTGTTTTCTCCTACACCCCTCCCCCACCCCATCTCATCCCATCCACTACCACCCCCAGTATTTCACTGGAAACTGACCTCCTTCTATCAGCATTCTGAAAATAGCTGATAATATATACATGTTAGTGAGTTTCCAGTGTAACCTCTAAAACTCACGGAGCAGCTTATAAATTTCAAAATGAATGTCAGGCAAACTAAATTCTTTTTAACATCTCAAATTGAATGTCAGGCAAAATAAATCCTTTTTAACATCTCAATATTCTACTACGTTAAAACAATCTCACTACACAATTTAGCTGGCAATGGTTCTAATTGCTCATATAAAGACTGCGTGAAGGAAAAAAATTCTGGTGAATATCAAGTCCAGCGTGCGTCTCTTACGTACACACTGTTAAAAATTGCCTTTTTTCTGTATGCCTGAACTTACCCACAGTAAACACCATTCCTTCTTTCATCTCTACACTTTCTTCATTGGCTAGAAGTTCAAATTTTTTTTAAACATTAAACTTTCAAATATGAATTGGCAAAAATACACTTGTCACTATCTGTTTTAGAGTTTAATTTTTTTTTTAGACTTAAAAGAAAAAATTTGTTTTGGATATGCGGTCATATACCAGTTATATTAACAGCAAAACATTACTTAAAAAATTTATTATTTCACAAATTTCTTCAGTGACTCCAGCTGATGTCATATATAATGATATTCTTACCAATGTGATAAATATCTGGAGGTTCGTGGAAGTCTTCCCCAATACCATGTCCACAAAACAGTGGAATTACTGTCAACCCTGCTTCTTTCATTTCTGGTCTATAACACAATAGAGCAAAAAATTAATGTTTATATTGGTAGAGAACTTATGAACTATGAACAAAAATGCATTTTTATACAATGAAAAGTCCAAGCATCTGTATACAATTATTTTTGTATGCCAAAGGATATAAATTCATCACTGTGACATTGTTTACATTCTATTGCATATATGACTATAAGTAGCTATGCTTTCCTTATCCTACACACTAAAAAACCCTAGTGGCACCTGACTTTGATTTAAAACAGTCCAGTTGGTTGACTGTTCAATAACAATATAATTTTCAAATATACAAAGTGATGGGGTATAGTTCAGTTCACGCAGTTCAGATAAATATCATATGCTACAAGTGTGTTCATACTGAAGAAATCCACTCCATCTTGGTTTTATTGTCTTCAGTTACTCACTCAATAGCTTTGCCAATCTCAGCAAATTTCACCCCAGGTCCACAGGCCTGTATACCAGTCACACAGGCATGTTCTGCCATTCTCACCAGGTGGAGCCCTTCCTCATCCACTGAACCGATGGGATATGTCTTGTTTACATCACCATGGAAACCTTTGTAGTATACCTAATATATGTTAAATAGGCTAAATTCTTAATTTTGAACATAATTTCACTTAATTAAACTTTGAAATTTTAAATTTTACAAAATATGTGAGCACTTAGTATAAGTACATTTTTTCACAGTGTGACTTTATTGTGACTGGCATATATTACGTGTATGTTGTGTACATGTACTTGTTATCGCTTGTGTACACTTTTAAGCTAAATTAATAAATACTTCTACTCACGGTAACATCAATATTGATGATGTCTCCATCCACAAGGGGGCAGTTATCAGGTATGCCATGACAGACCACATTGTTGACTGAAGTGCACACAGATTTAGGGAAACCTTTATACCTGAGAGTGGAGGGATAGGCTCCATATGCTATACAGGTTTCATGGACAAGTTTATCTATGTCATCTGTTGTCATACCAACCTGAAACAAATTATTCACAGTTAACCAACCTACTAACCTCTCTAGTTTTGGCAGATTTAGTCATGTTTCATGCATAATGCTACACTAATTTATGTAATTGTAACTATAGCTACTGTACAAGTAAAATTCATCTTCACCAGAATAAAGAGCATGGTCTGGTAACATTGTACCTATATTATTATCCATTATATACTCACTGTAAGCTGCCTGGAAGCCAGATTTAGTACATTCAATGCTACTTGACACGCCTCCCAAATCCCTGCTATCTGTCTCTCATTTTTTATGATGATGCCACTCTGACCAGGGGTCCAAGTCTCTGACACATAGGAAGGTCTTGGGATGTGACGGGGTACCTGCAGACATATACACTATTAAAGACTGTGAATTAATATAAAGGTAGTCTATTGCATTTCTGAGAGAGAAAGAGAGAGAGAGGTTTATATGGTGAAATGGCAAACACCACACATCAGCTTGGTTTATTGTTCTACCGGTACATGTATAACACTGCATCATAAAGTCCTGTAGACAAACCAGTTTATTGTTGTATACATTAGTGTATGTAGTGGTTTAATTAATGTACAGATTTGTATTTAACTTACTAATCTTTCTGGTCCCACAGTTCCTGGTTTAACAACCCTGTGCCTGACTCTTGTGCACAGCGACCGTTTTTGCATTATATAAACATTTCTACCTATATCACTCTTGAGAATATTGTCCTTTCTCATCGAAACACTGTTCGATGATGTAGGCAATTGTTGCTGATTAGGAATAAAGTAACTCTGTTTCTGAGAAACATTCCTTGTCAAGTAAGACCTTGTCTGGTGTGTTGCTTGGGAAATTATTACACACATTCTCTTCTGCATAATTTTCTGAGGAAGACAATATTTCTGCAAGAATTTTCACATTTCCAGTAGGCTCTCAATGATACAACTAATTCCTAGATTTCCAGTTTGGTCAATGGTCAAAGAACGCCTTGTATGCATTCCACCCACCACTTGCAATACAAAGACTAACTTGACTGGACACAGAATCCCATATATATGCTTGTACTGTACGATGCCGATGGCCTACAAACAACGTCTTTTCTCACTCCAGCATTCCCGGAACCTTGTCATCACAATCATTACATCAGCGACAATATGAAAATATCTGACCTTGTATTTCGCCGATGACTAATCGATTTTATACGATTACCCGTTAAAAAAGAGGTGTAACTGTAAGGAGGGCATTCCAGTGTCTTTCCACATCAAACACGTTTTCACATGTGACCTAATTTTGCTTGACCTATTTCGATTACGAGGTTTACCAAAGCAATGTGTCCAAATTATATTGGACAGTAAGTTCCTTCATGCTTACTTCTCATATCTAAATATATGAGTGACGTTTAGGAAGGTTAGTGACAAGTATAGCAGGAATGCTTAATGTATACATTTTTACTTTACTTTAAATATTTTTAAAATTCTTTTATGCTGAATTGAACGTTTGAAGAGCTGAACTCTGACGATAATGTCGTACTGTACATGTAGAAGCAAAGTGACAGAGTAGTCAGTGGAGTTGTTCAAAGTCAAACCTGGAGGAATTGCATAACTTAAGCCATACAATTTACATGTATAAGAGAGTCATATTTTATAAGCATTAGTAGCAGAGAAGTCATTGCAAAGGCTATCGCCAGCAATAGCTTACCGGTACTCTCTATTGATCAGAGTTTAGCATAGTAACTTATTATAGTTACCATTTGTCAGTTCTGTCTTAACAATTTATCCTTATTAGATCTACCTTTGTTATGTTTACTGAATGAAAAGTAGAAAAACATAATTATTCATTTCATGGAGGCCGGTAACTTGAACTGACATTCACTAGATCTTCAACTGAGTTCACATATGTATTGAATTTATTTCCAGACCCATGTACTAAATACATTACAAGTAGATATGGAAAGGATAAAAGTGCTGTTGTGGACCATATTTCTCCTATCAACAATCATCCACTGCTTGCTAGCTGCAGCCAAGGAGAAAACACAGTGTGGAGCTTGCAGAGTGATTGTAGATGAGGTCAGGAATTTTGTCATTTTTTATTTCATATAACATAATTTTTCTGCAGATACATGATCAGGATTTTATTTCTTTACTTTAAAGTTCAGGGGCGTAACCAGACCTTTAAAAATTGTACGCACAGATTTTTAAAATTCCCAGCAAAATGTAGACTAACGCAAGAGATGAAGGACAACGTAATTACAGCATATGTATCACACATCGCAGCTTAATTTCCATTAATGCTAAAATTATCAATTAGTCAGAAATATTCTCGCAATTAAAAAAGTTTCAATATTCTTATTTCCCAGAACGGTATATTTATTTAAAAGGAGGCTAGCTTCGCATATGTGGAACCCCCTTCGAATAATCCTGGATCCACCTCTGAGTTGAACTAACATACGGTTTCATTCACGTTACATGTGGATTCATGGCTCCCAAAAACAACCAATTGTACGACACGACAGAGCTCTGATACATCTAAGTTTAATTATTTGTTTGTAAAAATTGCCGATGTCACCCTGTTAGTTTGGAGGGGTAAGCTGGGTCAAGTCCGTGTCAAAATTCTTTGAAGCTTTGCAGGAAAAATTCTTCTAGCTCCTTTTTAAAACTGGGTCTAGATTTTATCTAGTGCCCCCAGGGTTGCGAGAGCTGCTCTTTGAAAATAACACTCAGGCAGATTTTTACCTGAGATAAATATCGCCAGCGAGAATGCGTTCGATTTTCTCAAGAAAGAGGGTACAGAAGAGTTGAGGGCCACTGAACCCTCCAATTAAGAGGATTTTCTTTTATATTCCGTGAAAAAAACACTAAATTTATATAAAATAATATCATGGTTGACCAAAAAATTGTACGCACAGTGCATCCGTGCGTATGCCTAGTTACGCCCATGAAGTTTTACTTTAATTTTTTTTTGTTCAGGGTAGGGGGTATACTATTTGGTCTAAATGTAAAATTACATCTTAATTGGTTACTGATTGACTATAAAGAAAAATAACAGATTTTAAAGTTAAAAAATAACTAAAATACAGTAATAAAATTCAAAAACAAGTTATATGCTTTGATATAGTTTTAAAATAGTTAGCTAAAATTTTGATACACAAGTCTCATATTATTTAGGTACAGATTATTTTTTCCACTGATTTCTTCCTTCCTCTCTTTGCCACACAGGTGAATTGGGCTATCAGCCAAGAGGACCCAAAGAAAAAAGTCCAAGTGGGAAGTTTCAGAGTAGATCCTAATGGAAACCAAGGGACACGTGAGGTAACTGTTTAGATCTGTGGCACCTCGTTTTTATAGCTTATTCAATTTTTCTCTGATATTTTTAGATTCTAACAAGCCTTAATTGTTTTTTTCAAACTATATATGCTATATGCACCAGTATGATATATTGTAAACATCGTGTAGTAGCTGTGTAGTTAAAAATTTTAAAGTGATGTGAAATGAAGGACATTTTTGTCCAAATTCTCAGTAATCAGGGTATTAACTAAAAAGTTTACAGGTTCGTAATGTTTCGTTTTATTATTATATGTGTTGTTCCTCCATCAAAGATGACAAGGGTCATCTATAATCACCTCGGGGTTAGGATTGGTTTCTTATTGTCTGTAAGAACAAAGAAGGCTGCTCAAGAAATTAATTTGAAGATGAAAAGATATAGAAACATGTTACTAATTTTTAAAAATGCATTTTATTCTCTATCAGACATCTGCAATCCATTTCTTCATCCTCAGATCCCATATGCAAGGTCGGAGATCCATCTCACAGAACTGTTTGAAAATATATGCCAAAAATCCAAAGACTATGCACAGTCCAGAGACTCCAAAACAAACAATGTCCAGTTTGTGAGGTCAGCTGCCAGGTCTCCGGGAGACTCGGTCACCCTGACCAATGTTGTGCTTAGTGCTGATTCCCAGAAATCTCTGAAATTTGCTGTAAGTACATGTGTCAGGAGGTGTCTAGGCTAGATACATGTAGTTGAGCATTTTCCTGCGTGTGTGTGTGTGTGTGTGTGTGTGTGTGTGTGTGTGTGTGTTTAGCTTGCTGAGGCCAAAAAAAAAAATGGCCAATAAAGATAAGCCCAGTTGTAACAACCTGCTGCACATATTTTATGAACTGTCTTTCATGAAATTATAACAAACTTATTTAACTTTCCAGTGCGAGTCTTTTATAGAGGATCATGAAGATGACATGCTGAAAATATTTTCCAAAGAAGATGGAGATGCAGAACAAAAGCTATGTGTAGATATAACTGGTAGGTATGACAGCAGCATAAAAATTTTGAATTTGACACTTAGGCTCTATTCCCATAGGTTTTAGATCGATCTATCCCCGCGGGGAGTCTCACTAGATTACTTTCAGATAATCCGACTTAAATGTCCGTCCCGCCTACTACAAGCTGTAAGGAGGTAATTAACCTTCGTGTCCGCCCGGCTGACAGCTATTTAGCGTGAACCCCCAGGGAGTTAGGTCGATCTAAAGTAGGTCGATCTAATCTATGGAAATGGGGTGTTAGACCATTCTTTATAATGTCTCCAACAGAAGACCATTATAATATTGTCGTGTGACACTTTATAGATATGTTAAAAGAGTCAGAAAGCATGAAAGAAAATATGAAACTTGACACACGTATGTGCACCCACGCACACTTGTATGTATATAGTATTGTATATAGATATGTACCAGCACATTATATGACCTACAGTTCTATATTTAATATACCAGCATAGTACAGGGAGATGTTATTCTTCTCATTAATTTGCTGTAGCTACAGTTTGACAGCAAAATGTATGACCTCATTCCCACATAGATTGATCTAGCAGGATCGGCCCATCTCCAAGGGGATTCTAGTTAAATTGCATTTAGATTAAGTGGCTTAGATGTCTGACACGCCTACTGCAGCTGCTAAATGATAGATAATTACCCTCTAACAGCTTCAGTAGGTGTGCCAGACATCAGAGCCACTTCAGCTGAATGTAATTTACCAAGAACCCTTGGGAGATGGGTTGATCTTGCTCGGTCGATCTAGGTATGGGAACAGGGTCTATGATTACAGGTTGTACAGTTAAAGCAGACACAAAAATTATAGTGTATATGCATGTGTCACATAAACCTACATGCACTAAATTTTATTTACATTTTCCATAAATAAGTTGACTATGTCAGTGGAAATGTCTAACCTGTTCCCTATTTAAAGACTAAAATCTTGGTTCACATTAACATTTCAAGAGAGGAAATGGAAATTGATTGCTCTTTCTTTCAATAATAGGTCACTGATATGGTGAACATTATTACAATAGTCAGTGACTCGAATAAAAATATGCCTTCTGTTGCAAAAAATTGATGTCTAGATAAGATAATAAAACATACATGTAGTTATTAATGACTAAGGATCCATCAACTATGTTTCTGTCTATCTGTATATCAATAAAAACATGCCTGTTTACAGGGATGTGACCTTCAACCAAGTATTTTATACAATCTTATTTTAGGTGTTTGTGAGCTGGAGGATTTGTCCATACCTTTGGCACCTAAAGCAGACGACATTAAGGACGTTCCAGATGAGGAAGCGGAAGCTGTGGAGGAGAACGCTGACAGTGATAGTGATAGTGACGAAAATGACTCTGACGTAAACAAGGATGAACTTTGACGCATAGGAACATAGTTAAAACTATCAATTTTTTTTTCTTATTCATTCCTGGGTGTCTTATGTCAACTTTTATTTTGTGTCATACTATATTGGCTTACATCATATAAGCTGTAGCTATGTCATGTGTCATGCCAAAATAAGAACGTCTGCCTAAGTAGGTACAGTTTGTATGGCGAATAACAAGAAAGTAAAGCAGCATATTTTAAGCTTGTTGAACAAAGTTTCATTTCAAAACATATTTCAACAATAGAAGTGAATCTCGAAATAACCAAAATGCACCAGAAAAAAATGAGGGAATGGCATGAAAATGTTTTGAATGTCACGCTTACCAAATACGCGGTCATGCAAGTACTGGTAGTTGGTTCCATACCGGAAAAAAATGGTCTTCAGATAATATATAATTATACCTTTTTTAAAGACACCAAGTCATCAAAAGCATACCTTTAAGTCATCATTTATGTAATATTTTTTGTGTTGAACTTTAGACAATTATTTTGGTGTCTCTTTTAAAAATGATTTTACACGAAGTTAAATTTGTTTGCAGTCATCACTTGAGTACACGTCTGAGACGTACCTATATGGCGGACATATGCTGATGAGCCCTGTCTAGTTCTTTGAATGATCTCAAAACTTATAGCCAGATTACGTGTATAACCTCTGTTTGGGCCATGGTTAGATTTTTAATGTGATATTCACAAATGCGTCTTTTAGTTAATTATGTGCACTTTTCTGTTTTGCTGGAATTTTTACATATAATTGAGGGAGAAATAATGAGACCAAGTTGATGTGTATTAAAATTGATTGACAGGTATAAATTATAAGTGACAGCGAAATGTATGTCATGTTAAGATCGTGATGGTTTTCAGTCACTCAATTCACACTAACAATAACATATACGTAGTCTAATGACAGGTCTACGGTAACTATTCATGTTGCTGAACGAGAAATCGTGAACAATTTTTTCCGCACCAGTTACGTGAGAGAGTCACTCAGACGAATCCCCTGCCCGACACCGCCATTTACCCGGATTCATTTTGATGGGCATCTAGGAGTTTGCGAAAGAAAAGACTTACCCCCCTCCCCCTCTCCATTCAGATTGGTGCTGTATTGAAAATTGTACCGCTCGATGAGAAAAGGGCCTTACATCAGTTACATGTTTTTAAAAATAAAAATTATGAAAGATCTCATTAAGACGAGCCTACAATTTCTTTTACACTGACAAGGTCATGCTTTGAATAAATAGGAGGCTGGAGGCATTGTACACCAGTTATGGCTTTGAAAGAAGGATGATTTTGTGGTTGATGACCTTTATATAGATTAAACATGTGAATAGGAACATTTCAGAGTCGTAAAGATAAAGGCGAAATTCGAGATCACGGACTGATGCTTTCGTTGTATAGGAACGGGAGCGCATTTATGTTGGAACGGAAAAATATAATCCGGAAATTAAACTTGTTATGATTATAAGGGTTATTTTGAATAAATGAATGAAAAAGTTGAAATGGACATGTTGACCCATGGTAATAATACCGATAATATATTTATTGAAATTCTAATATCCATTTAAAATATCCAGTAGACGATACAATGGTAAAGCAATAACATAAGATAGATAAGATTAAATAAATAAACAGCTAAAACATAAAGATAATAAATATATTGCACAGGGTATTAAGGCATCCAAGGCGTTATCAATATGTTTTTCATGGGGTATTTCCTGCCAAAAAATCTCGCCTGACATGAAGATTATTTATGAAAAATCTGAATGAAACACGTATATAAATTAATTTGATTAGATCCATGCTAAATCTTCGTGATGTGAATTTAAAAAAGCAACAAACCCATGCTATCACCTCAAAAATTTTTTCTGGCAATTCAATTCGACTCTCCCCCACCACTCCCCCTTTATTCTTAAGTAAAAAACCAAATGAAAATATGCCATTCTATCAATACCTCCTCTTTCATGGTATAATTCCATTTTGTATGCTCGTGACATTCAATATGAAACATACAATGGCGGAAATAACTTATCTGTAGAATAAGTTAGATGAAAATAAAGTACACTATAATACGACTCTTTCATGTCATTCAAATGAAATGTCATTCGTCACTTTTAATGTTATTTTCAGCTGAGTGAGATAAATGTACACAAAGTGTGTTCAACTTATCTGTCGTATTCTTTTGAATAAACAGGCTCTCTCAGTTCACCCGCCCACCATCGTCCGTTTTAAATTACGTTCCGAGAACCGGGAGTCTCAAAATTCAACATGTGTCAAGATTCTTTATGCATGTTTTAACAAACTTGTTAAAAGATACATGTAATCCTAAATAAGTTAACTTCATACGTGCTATTTCTTCTGATAATGATTTTGTATGTTTTTCTGGACGCTGGAATTTAATCCAAGCTGTTCACGGACCGTCTCCAGCGTGGTAGGCCTCCGAATCCGGAATTCCCTCTGTTCGCTTCCAGAAGCGCCAATAATTCCTGGAGAGAAGGCCCCGGGGTAGGGGGAGGAGGGTTTCTCCGCCTGACACGGCGTTTAATTTTCCGGGGTTTCATTAGGTTTGCTGAATATTTTTCTGCTTTGTCAAATTTAGTCGAAGCTTTCCCGAATGAGTTGACATCATCAGAGTGACAGTGACGCATTCTCAACTTGGTTAGATTTTCGCACAGATTACTTTGCGAGGCTTCCTTATTGGACTCGCTTTCTTCCCCTTGATCTTTTAGTTGAGTATTAAGTGTGACGACGCTGTATTTCTGCAAGAGAGTTTTCAACTGTGGGAGGTGTCCAAATATGTCCAGTAAGCGTATACGATGTCGACTGCTAGCTCTGCGTGTCCTAATGCCGCTTTGCCCACACGCGCGGTCAAATACCATATCAACGACTAAGCATCCAATGTGCCCCTTGCTCCATGTTTTAAATTTCACTTCATGAGTTTGGCTAAGAATGTCTTTGGGCTTCAGCAACGTACTCTCGCCATGAATTCCCTTGGCTGTAAGTCCGCTATTTGCTACAACCGGTGTTTTGGCCGTGGTCTGGCAAATGAAATAAACCACGAGAACTGCTGTCAACATCCACGTCATCCTCAACCTTATAAATCGAAAGAAAAACTATCCGACCTGAGTATAACTTACCGACTGGGTGGTTGTAGATACGGAAATATATATACAGCGATGATATGTATATCATTGTCATACTATGCTACATGTGATGCATTTCAATTCTCTAGCTGTGACTCAGTTGTAAGGTCACATTTGACATGGCTTATGGCTATGAAGTTGTGCGTCACTGTAACAAATGCGATTACATGACACTATAAAATAAATTCAGACAGGTGCAAAAGGTGATACATACCTGCAGGTTCTTTTATTTCATATCCTATCAGATTCCTTTCGAATGGCTAAACAGAGTACTTTCGTCAGCTTGGCTTCCTATTTAAGGGTACAAAAGGGGTTGCCTTGGATATGACTTCAAGGATGCCCCCCCCCCCCCCATTTTGTCTTACATTGTTACCTCACTTAATGCTTAGACATAAAAAACTGCATATTGTTATATCTATTTTTTAATATTTATATACGGGTATATAAATCACAGAGATATTGTGACAAGCGCACCAGCATATATCTTCTAAATGTACAGTATAACAAGTATATAATCAACAAGATGATATTATCACCATATAAATAAGTATCGCATGCAACTCATTTGAAAATGGTTGCACTTAAAAGAAAAAAGGCTAGATGCAGCACAGTTCTAGTGAGCGATAACTTACTCTGATCAGAAATTTTTTGTATAAATATTGAGATCGGGATAAAGCCTTTTGAAGCGAAGGAAGCTCGGCTATAAGTTAAGCTCTTCTATGATTAACATTGGTGAATAATTCCCCCTATTCCTTTTTACTTCCTTTTTTTATTATATCTCCGTTTGTCTTGAAGAAACGTTATGGAAAAAGTTGTGGACGGATTTTTCTTTTTTTTTTTTTCAGAAACTACCAGGAGTGGACAGAATAATAAACGATAGATGGTGATCATTTTTTAAATTGATGGTTAATTATATGTTTATTATCTGTCTGTTAACAACAATCTGCAAACATCTGTGGACGGATTTTGCTGAAACACTTAGGCAACTTTTAGGAGAAAACTAAGTAAGAAATAATAAGATTTTGGGGTCGATCCATTTATCAATATGCGAATTTTAATTAGAATTTAAATTAGAATTAATAAAGTCTGTTTGTCTGTCAGCAACGTTATGCCAAAGGTTATGTAGGGTTTGGGATTAAATTTTCAGGATTGGTCAGAAATGGGTTATGTTCCGGTCGTTAATAATACAATAATTAAATAACGAGTTAATTATTATTTAATTTACTTATTATAGAAAAAACTTTTAGTTTAGCTAATAAATTAGTTTATCAATGCATAATTAATGGTAATGAGAATTGAGTTTAGAAATAAATGAACTGCAGAATTAGTTTATCAATTAGCTTTTTAATTAATAAACTTATTAATGAAATATTGATATTAATAAAAAATGAAATATTGATATTAATAAAAAATGAAATATTGATATTAATAAAAAGGAAATATTGATATAAATGAAAAGGAGATATATACCTCTTTCTTTGATTTACTTTAGAAGAAATGTGGAATGCGTGGATTACTTTCATTTTCACACTGCTTTTACTCTGTAATGTCAACAGTGCAATATAAAAGACCATACTTGTGTATTCGATATTCCTTCTGCTCGAATATGTAACTTTCTCTTTTTGACCTCGTTTTTATAGACAAAAGAAACCTGTGTGGTGCATTTCGACTGCTCAAACAAGGGCGTTCATACATGTAGAGCCAACGACGGCGAGCCATTTCTCGTGCCATTGGACGGTCGAAATCAAGGGGGTCAGTTTTAAACCAACAAACTAACTCTAACGGAACACAATAACGGGACATGCCGTCAAAAGCATCGCTGATCCGTTGGGTGTTTTCGTTACATTTATCTATAATTTGAAAACTGGAATTTATACTTTCTACAAACGCTTTTTCTAGATGTTAAATACAATTTAAATCAAACTACATCATGCTAATTAATAACAATATTCTTCTCAACTTTTCTTCTCTTTCTTCTTTGATATCATTATACTTTGTACACCTTTTGCTCCAGATAAAGAGCAAAATTGTTTATATTTGATTTTTGCTTTTTGATTTCTTATA